TACCGAAGCCAATCGGAGAAAGGATAATAATCCCGGAATCGTTCGAACTTTGATTGGCCGGCGGAGGCGCGCGGGGAAGTCGGTTTGCCTCGGAAATGAAATTCCGCGAGGTCGTAATTCTCCCCCGCAATTATGCGATCTATTTTCCCAGGGAACTCCGGATTTCGGCCGGGTATACCTTTTAGGGGTAATCGCCCCGCGCGCCCGTTGCCGCGGGCATTGAAATAATCCAATTTAAATTTGAGGAGTGCTTCGCGTGCTCCAAATCGCTCGTCCTCCCACGCCGTGGTAAATCTCTAATTACAACGATATCAATCGTGCTTGGCTCGCGATCCGACGTCTCGGTTACGTCCATTGACCAGGATGCGTTACACGGCCCTCCGCCATTTGTAACCCGACCGTCCCGTCAATTGACGGTCGCATTGATGTAACGACGCGCCTCGTTTCTCCTTGTTTATACGACGGTAAATATCAATCTCGCGATTAGGAAATTCGAAGTGGTTTTAAAAAGGGGTATTCGAAGGGAGATGGCACTGGGGCGATGCCCAGGAATCGGGAAAAATCGAAATATAGGATTTTTCTTTTTAGGGTAGCCCTCGCTGAATAAAAGATGGCTTTTAGGTTAGGAATCTGCAGGTATCGACGGGGCGATTAACCCCGAAGAGGAGGGTCGCTCTTCGCAACCCCCTGGGAGAGCCGGGGTCGAAAACGTCATAACTCAGGGGCTGTCAGCCGCAGACTCGGAGTCCTTTTGACTCGGTCTCTGTGCATAATTCGATCGCGCCGACGACGGCGCCATCTTGAGGCGTCTCTAGGGACCATGACGGAAACGGCGCGCCCGACTAAATTCGCTCGTCCAAAAATCGTAATCCGGGCTTAACTCGGCGGATTCCGGGGGCGGGCTCGGCCCGACCTCCGTCCTGATGTGGCGGAACGGCCGCGTCGCCGCCGAGGGTCAGGGAAGAGGGCGGAAGAAAAGAAAGTAGAAAGACCGAGTTTCCGGACGATCAATCCTACAGGGAACGTACCGTGGCTACGTGCCGAAATAAAACGTGCATCCCCATCCCAGGGACCTTCCGCCTCGTCGAACAAATGGCGGAACGTCCGCAGCTGCACCCTGGAAACCAAGTTCGCCCGGGTCCGGTGTCGGAATTACCGCTTGCCGCCAAGTTAAAACCGAATGGCTTTAACGAAGCCGCCATTGGGCTCGCTTCGTGCTCGCTCGAGGATGGCCCCGACACCTTCCGCCCGTTTTCCCCCGTCCGCTTTTTGCCGGTCGCCTCCCCTCCGTCGGCGGTGGTTCCGCGAGGACGGCGCCACGAGGTGCTCCGGAAGAAAAATAAGACGGAAAGTTTCTTGCGAACGCCAGGTGCACCTGGTTCGGGCGACTCCTGCCAGATTCACCTGCGACTGCAATTTCCCGGAATAAATTGCCACGTGTGGACCCACCCCCCCTGGGCCTCCAAATCGCGTGTTTTTGGGCGCAGTTATCGTTCAATATCTCTATCGTGAATCGTCGAGGGCTCTTAATAATAATTCTATCGAATTTTCGAGATAAATCGCGCGTTTTGTTACGATCAAACTCGACGGCGCCGCGGAGCGGATGACGCCGTGACTTGCGTAGTACTCGCTGGCTTGACTACCGCGGTGGAGAGCGGGGTTCAAAATGGCGGCGCCCAGCAGAGCGGCTGATCCCTCGAAGTTCCTCATTTCTAATTGACGTAAGCGGATTGCGGGTGCACTCGATCGACTCTTTCCGGGGCCGTTGCGTTAAATTACCTAAGCTTGACCGACGCTGATCCGGAAACGTCCAGAAGGCGGACGGATAAGAGGGGGACGAGGAAAGTACGTCTTGCAAGCTTCTCTTTTCCCTTGACTATCTCCACGCCGCCGCGGAGTGCGGTAACGCGACAAGGAACGATTCTCCTCGTATAACCTTATCGTCGCCGCTCGTAAGGATTCTGCAGGGCCGACTAAGTTTTGCATGGCCCTCGCCCCAGCGATTTAAGTTCCCGGCGCAGTTGTAACCGGAATTGCACCCCCGTAAACCTTCCCGGCGTTATATATTCTTTCTCGCCATTTGCCCAGCCCCTGTTATCCTCGGCCGGGTGTTACTGGGAAATTCTCCCGAAAATTCGCAACGCATATGCGAGTCCCTCTCGACCGCGAACACCCCTTCGCGCTTTTTTCCCAATGGCCGCCCCCCCGGGATATAATGCCGGCATATTTCAGACTTATTGCCCTGCCGTGGATTGCCTCCAGTTTCGCCCCTTCTTGCCTCCCTTCTCGCTTCTCCTTTTTATCCCGACATGGTTTAATGGTATTATCGCGGCGTTACACGCGTTTCGATGTTTCCGCCGATTATTGCGCCCGTTCGCGCCGCCCAAGAAATATTTATCCACGCCACGACCCCTGTAATAACGGATCCTCGTATACCGAGAAGAAAAATTCCTTGAACCGAAGTAAGATTTTCTTGATTCAAGGAGTAATTATTCCAATTAAATAAACTCGAATGTATATATGTTCCCCTTTCTGAAGAAAAGTTGCGTTCCAATTCATTCGTGTTTACCCGAGTCGAACGATCTCTTCGGATTAACAAAATATTTCTTTGGTTCAATTAATTCTTTTCCCTCAGTGTATATAATCGTGAAATGATTATCGAAGGATTTCAAATTATTCTTCCCATAATTTTTCGTATTTCATCCGTTTGTTTATTTACGGAATGGCAGATTTGCAAGCAACCGAGGTATTACCCTGAACCGAGGCAGAGAATAGAGGAGGAGGCGGCAAGCATCCCTGCGGGGGGTCCGGGGATAAAACGCGGGGTTTATCTCGGCCGCGGTGAGCGAGTACGCGGAATCGTCGCGAAGTTAATGTCGGGGCCGTAATAAGAGTAAGACGAGCACTTGCTCGTATCGGGGTGGAGGGAAGGGGCCAGAGATGTGCGCGAGGCAGGAATCGCTGCCGAGACGACGACGTCGACGTCGCTCCTCGAGGGGTAACGTTAAGACGGGGAACGTAAACGCAAAGGCACCCCCGACGTCGGCGCTCCACTTTCTCGTACGTAATGCCCGTGAAATTGTGTCCTTAACATGGCGGATTTCATGCATCTGAAATCCACGTGTACACGTATACTTGCACTCGCTCGGCGCATACATCAAACGGGGTTGCGCACCCCCCACAGGGAAGTACCTGGTATCCTGACTGAACTCGTAGGAGGGGTTGAAGGAGACGCAGGGTGAAATTAGTAACTTTTACACGTCTTCGCGTAATACCGTTTAACTGCCCCTCCCCTCTCCCCAACTTTACCCTAGGTCGAGGACGGACTCTTTGGGCGATAAACTTCGGGATAGGGAAACACCGGTCCGCCCCTGCCCCCATTTAAAGTTGCACATTATGCAGCGAAATAAACGCAAATGGCCGTCACGGGTGCAAACACACCCCCAGCCATGTATTATTTCCCGGTCAGCATTGCCGGGGCATAAAATTTTCATCGAGCTATTATGAGGGGCTGTATCAATTCCGAATGAAGCTCGCGCAATCATTCCCGTCGTTTGTTTCGACCGAACCACATTGCGGATTTACTCGACGGTGTACGCGCACATCGGTGCACTCGTCCAAGTAATTCCTACCGGGAAGTATCGCATTTTCGGCCGTGGCACGAGTTAACGATCGGCTGGGACCTCTTTCTTTCATTTTTTTCTTTTTCGCGGATTTCTTATTCCGAGAGATCTTGGATAAATAATTCATGACGTATCGAGGATCCGGAAAATGTGTCGCGTATCAGTCAGGTGCGCAAGGGGACGGGGTATTGGCTCGATGGGGCGACATAAATGTGATGCATGAATTCCCAAATGGGAGCCCATGTGTCCTTGCAAACTCCCCAAGCACTGCGATTTCTCAGAAGGAACTCGCAGAACGGAGGAGACGGATCTCGGAGAGATGGGAACGCCAAAGAGCGCCGTCGATCGGTCGTCGTCGTTTCGTCAAATCCTCCGGGATTTTTCGACCTCGTCGCAGTTTACCTTGTTTTTCGTCGGATTACTCGAATTTTCCAAATTTTTACTCTGCCCCGCTCTCTCGGCGGTATTATTGAAAGGAGTTCGCAATCGCGGTTACGTTTGCAGAAGATAAATAAACGCGGCCGGGCAAACGGGGATATTTTTTCACATTTTTCTTTTTTTTCTCTTCGTTCCGGTTTTGACTGCGCCCCACTTCACGGTATCCATGAAATAGCCATATCGGATCGCAATACTGGCAAATGTTTGTTTAACCCGGGGCACGGAGTAACGAGGATCGCCTCGCGTTGTAACGGCGAGCGATCCGGGATTCGAGCCCGATCCCGTAATTCCAGAATTCCTGGAAATTTAAATACCGCGATTTAAGGGCGGAAATCCGATTCGAGGAGCGTCCCGAAATTCGCAAGCTTCCCGGCCGCGCATTATGCATCGCCGGGGCGGAGCTATCCGTAAAAACCGGGGGGTGGAACCGCGAAATCGGGTTAGTCGGGAATAAATCGCGCCTAATCGGCTGAGCCGCGGACGCTTCGAAGTAGCGAGAATTAATTGCGATCCGAAAAATACGGGGGATGATCCCCATTATAATAAATCCGGGCGCAGAGGGTGGGCCGGGGGAATGTATGCATCGCGCGCGAGCTAATTATTTATCGCCGAGTGGAATTCCGCGACTCGCCCCTGAAATCCGAGGAAATGATGAAAATCACGTAACGTAAGAGAGAGAGAGAGAGAGAAAGAGAGAAAGAGAGAGAGCACCGTGCCGAAAGTTCTCACGGTCGTCCGTGACAATCGTTCCGGTCGCATCTAAGAGGAGAGGGCAATAATCGTGGATTTGAATGGGCGTAGTTGAAAGATTTAGGGAGATCGCAAGTCTCCGGATCTTGGACGTCGGGGCACCTTCCTGGTCCCCGGTTCCGGGTCGAGATGGGACGCTTCGTCGGGCGAGGTTCCGGTCAAGTGAAAGGTACATCCATTGAGATTTACCTGTGCCAGCCGCCCCTAACCTCAGGACCGCGTCGCCTTGGAGGGAAATGGAGAGGGTGGCGGTGTCCTCGAGGCGAGCGAGCACCTCCTCGGGAATGTCCTCGGGTTCGCGGAGGCGGAGGGTCACCTCGCCTCCGCCGCCTCCACCGCCTCCGCCGCCTCCGCCACCAGGACTCGTCGAGGCGGAGTACATGAACACGGATCCGTATCCATGCAGCGACTGCAACGGCAGCCGGACGCCGCCCACCTCCCCGACCGGACCCTGCAAAACCAAAGGATCACGTAGGGGGTTAAACTTCGGCCAGGCACTCCGACCGGGTCGAGTCCCGCGCCAAGAACGCGATAAACCGCCGCGGTCCCTTTCCGCGCGTCACCCACCTCGCCGACTCCTCGGATCTCGGTGATCGGTTTCCTATTGAGTTCAAACAAGAATTACATGGCGACATTCACTCCGGAGTATAGGATTCTTTCCCGGGTTCACGATGAGCATTACCTCGGTTTCGAGGATTCTCGAAGCGCCTGAAAAAACGGGCTTTTCTCCCCCGGTGAGTCCCTTAAATCCTCTAACTTCGCCACTGACTAAAGCTGAGGGATCGCTTTTGGAACGTCGGGATATATATCGGAAGTCCGCGGAATATGGGCTTTTGCTTTTTTGCGGAATCCCCGATGTCAAAAAGTTCCGCCTCCCCCTCCCTCCCTTCCCTAGGGAGGGGATAAATGTACCCGGAGCGTGACTCGATTCCGTCGCCTCCCGGAATTTTCCGAAAGCTTGCAGAAATGTGCAGATATAAGGGACGGATATATATATATTCGGGATTACGGGCCGGAGGGAAGATGCAAAGCCAAAGTGTTCCTCCGGATCTGGGAAACGTCGAGATGGAGCTTCGCTCGAAATTCAATGCTGGGGAGCGGCCTGATCGATAGGGCTATTTAAGGCTGGATAAAAAATGCCTGACTGGGAGGATATGATATTCCGTGCACAACCCCTATTCGCGCTTAAGGAAAGAAATCCGAAAGATATGGCGCCTCCTTTCCTCCCCCATTCTGCAAAGTCGGCGCGAAAGAGTCTTCGGCGCGCAGCTGCAAGGGCGGAATCGGAAGCTGCACGGACGGGGCCCCGTTATTTACGGGAATTGATACGTACGTCGGAGTATTTCCGCGTCACGTAGGGTAGTATCGGGAGCGGTCCAGCCGGCGCCGATGAGAGTAATTTATTTTAATGGTCATTTTCGTAATGGCCTCCCGAGCGTGGCGCATGACCCGTCCCTGAATAGGCGCGCGTCCCTGCCTCACCCAGGACCAGGGCCCGAGTGCATTTATAGAAAAGTGCACGCCGATAGAGAGCCGGCTGTAAAAGGCACCTGCCCTCGCTGCTTTACCGACCGGGACCCGCCGCGAATCGACACGTGGGATTATCGATGCTGCTTTCGCCGCGTTGAATCGCCGGGGGAGGGAGACAGAGAGGGAGCGAGACTATATCGCCTAGTTCATGAAAACTGCTTTTACACATTTCTTTCTTTTCTTTTTCTTTTTTTTTTTCCTTTTTGCGAAGCGACAAGTAGTAATCGAAAGCCGCCGGACGCGTTTCCGGGCGGAGTCGCGTCGGGAAACCGCAGTCGGCGATACCGCAGGTCGGCGAATCGCCCCTCGACGTGTTAAACGGAATTTTCCGAAGTTCAGGGAGGAGGGCAGCGATCTTTCGCGCCGATAGAGAGCTAGGTACGTTCGGCTCGATGTTCGTTAGCGGCAGGAAATGGTCACTAGCAAGCGCGATAGTATCGTAAAGCACCGGGTCGTCCCTCACTCCCGCCTCCCTGTAAATTACAGGGACCGGGAGGAAGAGAAAGAGAGAGAGAGAGCGCAATGAAAGCCGGCCTGAACTGTGTAATCCCGTTTACAGGGCCGGCAGCCGTTCCGTCCGATGGCGTAATTCTAACTGCGACGACTTAACGATCGGCCAATGATAATAATCTTTGCTGGAGGGCCCTGGGTTACGGTCTTTTCGAGATGTCCGCGATGACATCTTGGATGGACTCCTTCGACGGAAGCTGGCGGAGATGTGTACGTGAATGTCGCCGATGAGCCCCGAGGATGGAAAATGACCATTCTCGACGAAAGGCTGCTCTAAAGTGAAGGAAGCGCGGAGATAGTTGCTTCTCGCATCGAGCTTTCCCCCACCACCACCCGCGGACGGCGCGGAGTGGGGGAAGCGTAGAGGACGATCAACGGGTGCTTCTCCCGGATTTCGGGAGTTTTAACGCAAAAAATCCGCGAAAATTGGACGTATTTTTGAGCGAGGTTTAAAGCGGCAGAAAAGGGTCGATTTCGTCAAGCCTACCCATCGCGAGTCTCATTATGCCCGGTATAATTCGAGCTCTTTTTTTTTTCGAGTCCCCCTGCCGAGAGCAGTTGCGAACTTCGAGCGAATTGTCCGCGGCAGCTGTCCCGGCGTTGTTTTTCTTTTTATTTTACGATGAACTCCGCCTGAGAATCCCGACGCGAACGAGAGGCGAATGCATTAGGAAGTCGAGTTCCTCCGAGTCGGGGGATTATTTTTTACGCCTCTCGTCGAGGACGTGCGTCCCGGCCAGTGACGTTCTTTATCATTTACCTAAAATCCCCGGGACGTGGAACTTTTTAATCCGGTAGAACTCGTTTTCTGACTGCAGCTAAATCGAGGCATAAACCCCCCGGACTGTGACATCCATTTGCAGCCCAGTTTACACGGGACGGTAAAGCGGATTTGTTTAAGGTCGGACTCGTCGTCGGTGAAGATCTCAAAAGCTGGGCGAGCGGGAGGGAAATTGAGGGAGGGGCAAGTAATATGCAATATTAAATTCGTAGGATCGGGTTTGCCCGTCCGAGTCGGTTTTCAAGGGAACTTCGTTAAAACCGGCGAAATCGCGCGCTTTCGTCTCGGCTCGCAAACTTGCCTGTGTACACGGCTTTACGAGGGGCATCCCCGATGCGCCCCTGAATTTCCAGGGCAAACCACCCCGTGTAAACGCGGCTTTTCGCCATTTATTTACGCGTTCCTGGAATTAGTAATAACTTTTTCCTAGCCGCTGCCGGGCGGGATTTAGCGTCCCTTCTCGGGACACTTCTTTTTTCCTCCCAGTATTTTGCAGGACCCTCCCCCTCGCCCCGGCACCTCACGGTGTCGTTTCCACCGCCGTTCGATTTTATGCCGGGTGGTTGAAAAAGATACGCCCCTGGTAAACAAAATCCGAAAAGACGCGCGACTCCTCGGAAGGGGTTACTTCGTGCTCGCGACTTTCGACCTCGCGAAGATCCAAAAAATTGGGAAAGAATTTCGTTTCTCGTAAAAATTCTCGAAAACACTTTCCAGGTTCACCGGTGTCCACGGACTTCGTTAAGAGTGTCGGAAGATAGCCCAAAAAAGGGGATCCTCGGGAGCGGCAAAATGGAAATATAAATTTCGAAAATACTCCCTACCGGTGTTACGAAGTGGGGTGTTGTCGGCGGTAAAAGAGTCTTCTGGAGGAGGGAAAGTATCCTAGAGGGAGGATGGAGCAATCCTGAAATGCGGAGACGCTCCGGCGGATATATTAGCGATGTTTGTGCAGCAAGAAGAAAATGCGGTAGAGGGCTCCGAAGCTGCATCATAAGGCGCACGTGCATTACCATAACGCGCTTTTATGCAACCCCCATAGAAACGTCATGAAGAACCGATTTCGAGTTCGGAAGGGAGCCGACAGGGAAATAAACGCCGACGGGAGATATCCTCCTCCGCGACGATTTTCTATATTTTACTTCGTTTCTCGTCCAGATATACTTTCGAAAAAGATCCCGCGACGTTATTTAATATATTTCGAGAGGAGCGGAAGAGGGAGAGGCGGGCGCAGTCGTATCGGGTAAAAGGGGCCGATATTTTCGCCCCTCCCCTCGCTTTCCATCCCCGTAATTACGTGAGAAATGAAAGAACAGCCCTCGGGGCGAGAGCTCTCTCGATAAAGGCGCCTCTCTTTGCACGAGAGTCGACCAATGGCCGCTCGCGGACACCTCCTAATTTCCCCGGAAAAAGAGGCGCCTCTCCGAGCCGCTTTTCCGTTGTCTCTTACGACCATTGACGACAATCGGCGATCGATGGGTGCAAAGAAAAAAAACGGCTCGTCGCGTCGCCCTTCAATTTTCCCTCTTCTCGCGGGAATTCGGACCCGCGGGCAAACAAAAAAAATCCGAAGCTCAAAGGACGAGTCGATCGCGATCGTTTCGAGCGCCCCTAATGGCTGCTCCGCTAACGAAGGCGTCTCCGAAAGGATTAAACGCCGTTTCTTTTTTTAGTTTCATTCGTCGGTTTTCGACCGGCCGGTCGAAACTTGACTCCGTTGCGTCGCAACGGCGATTCCAGGGGTAACGACGACAATAATGGCCAGTCGTTGACCGTTATTGGGCTTATTACAGGAGGGCCGAGGCAATGCGGCGTTATTTATATATCGGGAAAACAAAATGGCTCGTCGGATCGTAATCCCGCAGTAAAGCCGGTGACTCGGCGCGGCTCGGGGAATCATTTTACGGTCCCAGCGACGTATACGGACGCCGTAAAAGGTAGCGGACTTTCCTCCTGAATCAGATTTTACGTCATCGCGCTCGTTCGAACGTAATGGACCCAATTCATTAAAGTACGGGACTCTTTCCCGCGGAATCCTTCCATCGGCCTCGGGTGCACGCATCGCGCCCCTCTTCCATAAGCAGGATCGACCTGCGCAAAGTACAGCCTCTCTCGGAAATGTCGGGTCCTTTGTGCGTTCGAAAAAAATTAAATACGAGAGTGGAAACATTCGAGGTAAGCTCCACGAGATGTTTAACGGTGAAGCAGGACGTATTCAATGAAGATAAAAAAAATTGTGACTTGGAATACGAGAGATTTTTGATGAGATCTATATTTTTTATTTTTCTTCCTCCAGAACGAGTAAGCAATAGAAGAGGTGTTTTAATTCCCACGCTTAGGATGGAGGATTTTTGGGTCATCCGGTAATGTTTTGTTTTCTTCTCCTTTTTAGTTAAAATTTGCATATCAGTTAAAAAATCCGGGGGGACAAACTCATCGATGACAAAGCGGAAGAGCGGAGGGACGCTAATTGAAAATGGTCGGCGGTACCCGAGGCGGCGCTCCAAAAATAATAAACATTGATTTGCATATTTACGTTCGGACGAGCGATCGATCGATTAATTGTCAAAGCTAATAAAACCGGACGGTAATGACGAAACTGGCTTACCGAGTCGAGGGAGGGAATGGCG